TTTCCTGCTTTTTGACGTCTTTTTCTGAATGAAAACGGAGTCAAAGGCCCGTTTAATCCGGTTTGTTTACGTTGCCCTAAAGGTGAGGCTTTCTGGGACCCGCTGAGGAAGTGGATGAGGAGGACCGGGGCCTGATTTGAGTCTGATCGGTGCCTTTATCGATCCGTTTCCCGTATATCTCTCTCTCTTTTTCTCTCTGACTCTTTGCGGCTCAGCTGGGCCGTGACGTCACGCCCTGCCCCGGTCTCCATGTTTGGATCTGAGCGGCTCCGCCCGGGAACCGGGAACCGGGAACCAGGGACCGGGGACCGGAACCGGCGGCCCCCCGGGGCCCCAGTTCCCGGTCCCCGGTCCCTGGACCGATGCCTGGTTGACAGCCGTCCCAAAATCGCTGATTCACGGCCGGCCGGCCTCTTTCTCTCCGCCTTACGGTCCACCGGACGTCATTCTCCGTTCATTCCGCCTTAAAAAAAACAAACCGCCCGTTTTCTCCGCCTCCACCGGTTTGTAGCTTCGCGGTTCGAGTCTGAACGAGTTTTTTAAACCTCCGTGGAGCAGTTGGAGGCCCGGTAAATCGGTCATTTTTTCTCCTACCTTGCCCAGTCTCCTGGTTGAAGTCATTGTGGTGCCGATCTGATGTTCTTCTTCTTCTTCTTCTTCCTGTTTCTGACCGGGACTCGCTCCCGGAGCTCTTTGGCTCCGTTTGAGGCGGAGTCCGGACTCAGCGGCGCCCCCTGGCGGCCGGAGGCCTCACAACACGCTGCAAACAGGGGAGACGGGTCAGAAAACTAAAACAAGGAAAGAAAACAGGGAAAGAAACAGTTACAATAAAAAAAACACTGTAAGAAAACAAGGAAAGAAACATTTATAAAAAAAAACACTAAAAAAACAAGGAAAGAAACATTTATTAAAAAACACACTAAAAAAACAAGGGAAGAAACATCTACCAAAAAAAACACTAAAAAAACAAGAGAAGAAACATCTACCAAAAAAAAACACTAAAAAAACAAGGGAAGAAACATCCCAGAATACAAAAACACTGTAAGAAAACAAGGTAAACAACATTTACTAGAAAAAAACCTCTAAAAATACAAGGTAAACAACATTTACTAGAAAAACCCCAGTAAGAAAACAAGGAAAGAAACATTTACCAAAAAATAAACATTAACAAAACAAGGGATGAAACATCCCAGAATACAAAAACACAAAAAAAACAAGAGAAGAAACATTCCAGTGGACAAAAACACTGCAAGAAAACAAGGTAAACAACATTTACCAGAAAACCCCCTGTAAGAAAACAAGAAACGTTCCAGAAAACAAAAACAGGTAAACAAGATTTACCAGAAAAAAACACTGTAAGAAATCAAGGGAATGGATATTTACAAAAAAAAAAAGGAAAGAAACTTTCCAGAAAACAAAAACACTGTAAGAATACAAGGTAAACCACATTTATTAGAAAAAATCCTGTAAGAAAACAAGGGAAGATACATCCCAGAATACAAAAACACTGCAAGAAAACAAGGTAAACAGCTAAGAAAAACAAGGAAAGAAACATTTCAGAAAACAAAAACACTGTGAGAAAACAACATTTACCAAAAAACACGAATTCTGTCACAAAAAAGATAATCAACATAAAAAAATTAA